CCTATTCAAACTTTCTTGTTAGGTTATCTCACCTTCGAATTGAATCAAATTTGGTTCCACATAGTTGTTACTCGGAGTGTTTTGAGTTTGTTTTTTGGAGTTCCCTAATACTATTGCTTCTGCATTTTGCATGTGGAACTGTACAATGGATGCAGCTATCAGCACACTAAATACCACAAACGTAAGTNGTGTTTTGAGTTTTTTTTTTTTTTGAGTTCCCTAATACTATTGCTTCTGCATTTTGCATGTGGAACTGTACAATGGATGCAGCTATCAGCACACTAAATACCACAAATGTAAGTCAGTCTCTTTTTATACATGTTCTTGTGTTCATGTTGTTGCCAAATTGAAATATGTCACACTGACTGCGCTATGCATTCTGGGCACTAATTTATTACATTAGAACACACATAAGCATCAGCTTTATGCAGTGATAGTTTTTGCATTCTGTCTAAGTTAATTGATATTAAGAATAAAAATATTGCATCAATGTTTTAGTGTCGTCATATTTCAAATCTTGTAAAGGTGATTTATATATAGGTATGTGTGCAGGTCTATATGTAGTCATCAATTATCAATAACATATATTGTTTCATTTCAAAGTTTAGTATTTGCACTTTTATTCATTCATAGCTGCAGTATAACATAATTTTGTTATGTCATTGTTAATCTCTTAATTTCGCATATGCTTTAAATCTGTATTGTGCATGTCATTGCTTGTAGTGAAGCATATTCTAGTGATAAAATACGTGCTTTCAAGTGAGATAAGCAAAAATGAGTGATATTTGAGTTGTTTTAGGGATGTGCCTGGGTTTAGGAGGTCTGGCCTTGCTCCTTGCCAACATGGTAAAGTAATTAACCATNATGAGTGATATTTGAGTTGTTTTAGGGATGTGCCTGGGTTTAGGAGGTCTGGCCTTGCTCCTTGCCAACATGGTAAAGTAATTAACCATAGTATTTGTCATCTCAATTTCTCTGTCTCAACCACAAAATTTCTTCTTTCATGTTCTCCTCTGCACCTCACTATATTGCCATTGTAATTGAATTTAGTTTGCTAAAATTTTCAAACTGATTTGAAAGTTCCTTGAAACTAAAGCTAGAGCTAACAGATACTATTTTGTGGTCCGAAGGTGAAAATGGCATACAAAATTGTGGGTACCCATAGTTGTGCACACTCCCAACCAGGATGAGGGCATGATTTGATCTCTGCTCTCTAGGATTGGTACAAAAATTAAGTTACTTTACCAGCTAAGCTAATTTATCACCCATTTCTAACCTATCTAATTTTGTCAATGTTATGAAAAAACGGTAGGATATAATTTTTTAACCCATTTGAAATTAGTTTTTTTTAATAAAACTGAGAATCAAAACATTTTTCTTGACTCTATTCTCTTTGTTTTATGTTTCTACAAGCATAGTTGTCAAATCGTGTATCGGAAGATGTATCAATTTTTAAAAATAATGTATCGTATCGTATCGTATCGTGTATTNATCGTGTATCGGAAGATGTATCAATTTTTAAAAATAATGTATCGTATCGTATCGTATCGTGTATTGTAAGATTTGCGCAATTTTAATTTTTAAATAATTATTAATAAAATATATGTATATGCTTTTATAAAAAAGTCATAGACTCATAATAGAATAATATTTCATTAATATTCCACCAACTATTCAAATTTCTAACATAGTTCAGTAATATCAAAATATAAAGACCNTAATAGAATAATATTTCATTAATATTCCACCAACTATTCAAATTTCTAACATAGTTCAGTAATATCAAAATATAAAGACCTCTAATTTAAACTTCTAACATTAACTGTTTGAACAACTTTAATATTAATTAAAAATTTTGAATTCAATTGAACAACATTAACGTTAGACTTTATTTATTTTTTTTAAACTATAATACTGAAACGACATTGTTTCACTAGCTAGTGATTTAAAATAAGTTTTAGGGTAAAACGATGTTATTTCAATCCCAAAAAATAAAAAAAAAATAAAAAAACAGAATTGTCACGTATCGGGCGTATTGTATCGTATATCGTACGATACGGTGCAAAAACGATACAGAGACACGATACGTATCGTTTTTTAGATATATCGTGATGTATCGTACGATACTAATAACTATACAAGTTGCTTGGCAACTAAGCATAGTTTTTTGGTCAGTTGGGTCGCTTTTGTTATCACCTTTCTCTAGTCAAATTCCTTTCTAATTTTTGACTTAAAGTTGTTTTCGTATCTATTTGGTTTTGTAGAAACTAAGAACCAGTGGGCACGGGATGATCCTGCCTTTGTTGTAATCTGTATTCTTCTTTTGGCAGTATCTACATTAGCTTATTGTGCTGCGTAAGTTTTTTATACATATAATCGTAGTCCCAGCTGACTTCTATAACATTGATTCTAAAGAAACTCATTGGGTCCCTATAGCATTGCTCTTTTTTTTTTGTTTTGTTTGGCATTGTTTAACTTTTATACTGAAGTATCAGTTACATTTCATTTATTTATTCGTATCTAATTCTGATTATGATTGAACTTTATTATCTTCCATTTATTTCAGGTATGATCATAATGTGGGGCATGCTGTTTTTGTAGTTATCTCAGTATTGCTTTTACATTTTTTAATAGCTGGAGCAGTTTTGGCTACATGTTGTTGGTAAGAGCTACAACTACCATGTTTGAATTATACATGTCCTTTCACTGAAGATACACTTTTTGCTTTTTTTTTTCCCCCCTTTTGGTTATCAATCTTAGGTTTGCCAATGCTTCCATATTGCACTGATCGAAAGTGTATTAATACAATGGGATATTACAATTGTCTGTATTCATATTGCCACTGCCAGTTCTTACTGTCTTCAACGCTTTTTGTAAAACTGTATAGTATTGAGATTCACTTCTGGACATTCTGATTTTAAAGCAGCACCCCAATTGTTTTGGAAGTCACTTCTCCTAGTATTCACTTCCTTTTTGTGCTAAAATGTGCCTGATTTGTATGAGTTGCTGCTGCATGTTAAATGCATGATGGAAAACAGGTACAAAGGAAAATTTCATTTGCTATCTCCTTGCAGGTTCTTGACAAATACTTATCTTCGAGAGGAAGCTCCAAACAGTCATGTGGTAGAGCAAAGGGTAGAATTGTATGTTTTGAACATTCTTACTTTTATTGTTTTTCTCTTTCTATTTGTCATGTTAGTTGTCAATTCTATTCGCATCTCTTTGTTCACATGTTCTATCTTTTAAATATTGTAAAATATAATAATGCAGCCTATAATTTTCTTCATTTTAATAGTTTTGTAAACAAAAAAGGGCACTGCATTACCTAGGTATTTAAATTCTTTTTTGTTTTGTGCTGAATCTGGTTTTCTTCTATTGAAGGCTTTACGCATTTGATGTACACTGCAACTCTTTCTTCCCAATGTTTGCTGTGCTTTATGGTAAGTGCAAGGTTGTACCAGACATCTCTTCTAAAATTTCAACCTCAATTTATGTTCTAGATTGTCACTGATGGCTTTGTTTTTGTGACAGTTATACATTATTTTCTATCACCTCTTTTGGTTGCTCATGGGTTCTTTCCTGTTTTGCTATCAAATCTGCTCTTTATGATGGCTGCTTCCTACTATCATTACCTCAACTTTTTAGGTTATGATGGTAAGATAACCTCTGCTTGTAGTATGTTACTTTTCTTCCTCCTATTTTATTGTTCAAAAATGAACTGAAACATACTTGGTTCAAAAAGTTGGATAGGAGCGTTTACAAACATCTTGGGCACATGACTCTAAATGGTGAACCCATCATATGTCGATATAACCCCATTTGGATTGAAAAGTATGGGTATGTAACAAAATCATGTCACATTTTCAGGGTGGAAGTCCCACCTCATATCAGTTATCAATGGGATGAAAAACTTGCCTGTTGCATCTCTTGGGTTGTTAAGTATGCTCTACCATATAGATTAGCATATTTGTTTATGATTGATACTCTAGCACTGGAGAGCTGAAACCTTGGCCCAATGGCATTCCTCTCTGGTCTTTTTTAGTGTTCACCAGAAATATAAACTACTGTTGAGACATTGAATTGAATGAACTGCTCAAGACATAAAAATGAGTAAGTAATTATTGGTAGGTGGCATATTTTTGTTTGGTTGCTTGCTCATGCACTCTTTTTAACTGTCTGTGGATTGCTTTCATGGTTGGTTAATCTCATCATCAGCTGACCAGCAAGAAACTGCTGAATGTGTATGAGATACGGATGATTTTTTTGCTGGTAATTTCTTTGGATTTTTTCTTCCAATAGATGCTGTGGGTGGGGAAGTCTAAACAGAGTCATATATACCTCAAATTGTTATGGGTCAATCAGAGGTAACCTGCGAAGCTCGGGGTTTTTTTTTTTTGTGAGATCACCAAGAAGATGGTGTTATGTAATTAATTCCGGTGGTATAAAGGTGGTAATGAAGTCAGACTCATCGCTTGCACTATATTGTATTAAAGTTGGAATTGGCATGCAGAAGAGCTGGATTCTCGCGGGCTATGTCAATTTGATTATGGAATTTAATGTGGACGTCACCATAATTAATTGGCAGGTGTATTGATTGGGTGGCCATAGTACAGGAGAAATTTTTGATGCTTTGATGCTTTGATGATTATGATTTGTTTTATTCTTTTCCTTTTCCTTTTTCTAGGTTGTAAAACTTGTCTTCACCTGTAAAGTCTAACCTTGTTTTTTTGATGCAGTACTACCCTTTTTAGAAAGAACTACTTTCTTCCTGTATCCAATTGGTATCGGCATCATCCTTTCACCTATATGTAAGTGTTAACTGCTGCTGTTGATTGTCTTTTTACCCTTTCATTTGTTGACAGGAAAGATCAATTCATTATCTTTGCTTTGCAGTAATTTTGAGTGGCTTCAACCCATCAAGATACTTCATGAACATGTATTTCAGTTGATTGTTGTGATTCACTGGCTAACATGTACATAGAGCACATATGACAATATGAGAAGTTTAGTCCAGACACTGCAAATCAACATGAGATGACAATTTATCAATGACAGGTTCACCACATGTAAAAGGGAAGGCACGATGCTAGGTTCACCACTTCTATTGTTTCCCGTACAGGCTAGCTACTATTGTGGCTGAAAACTGGTACCTGGTGAAATCAGGTCCTGAAATTGTTTCCTGTTGCTAAGAAACTCGATAAATGAATGTGTTGATTGTGATGTTTTTGCTCATTTTTGAATGTAATGGCATGCACTAAGAGCTAGTTATTCTCTGAATGATATGTGGGCATGCGCACAAGTCTTCCTCTCTACCATTATGTGCACGTAAGCAGATATCAGTTTTGAAAACACAATTTTTCTGAACCAAATTTCAAAGCTGCAAAATGGATTGACCAACGACATGAAAGAAATACAACTAAAGAACTTGCAAGAGAACCCAATTACAGCTCAAGAATGCAAAATGTCCCAACTTCTTTGCATGTGTGAAGGCAAAGGAGCAACAAACTTGAGGCTTTCAATTTTTGTAAGATCACATTCTGAAGACAATTGTGTATGTTGCAAAGTCATTGATACATTAGGCAAAACCATTTCTCTACAGTGAAGATGTAGGCGAGGATGCTTTTCAGAAATACTTCCACTTTCCAAATCAAGGCCAAAAGGAAGTGTCTTTCCCTTGGAAAGCTTCTCATTCATGTTACTTTCAAGCTTAGAGGATGGCAGATGTTTCCAGTTCCTATGAGATTGCCACCCATACTTGTAGTCTCCAACAATTGGCGTTCCCAATACCTCAGCACAGTGCACACGGAGCTTTATTTTGTCCGGCCAAATTAAGAGACAATTGGAGCAAATCAGTAATTGTAGAAAGCTAAGAGACATTCAGATATCAAAATAGCACGGCATGTTGTTTTTCTATACCTGGTGCTTTCTACCAGTGAGAGGTGATAGCTCTAACCATGTATAACCTACAAGTTTGACCACCATTGTCAGATGCATTTACATACAAGAAAGAAGGTATGTTGCTGAAAAGACTTAACAACAAAGTTGTTCTGGAGGATAATAGTCTCATTTTTGTATTATTCCTCTTGATATACAACTTTAAGGAATGAGAATCTTAGCCCAGTTCAGAGCATACCATGCCACGAAGGTTCAATCACCCGATATTCTGTTATGGCATGCTGAGATGACATTGTTTGGTTATTGTCGACAACTGTAATTCTTTCTGATTTTCCATTATCCAACACTACCTACAAAATGTATCAAATGTATAATAAGATTCTAAACTGAGTAAAAAGTAGACACACTGCTAAAGTGGAAGAGGATTAGTCAGATCATCAAAACCTAATCTATATTGTACACCATAAAAAAGAAAAACGTGTTAATCTAATGATAGGTTTAGCATGGTGAATGGCCATGCATTCCAGATAAAACCCTAAGCCACTGCCATCATATATGGCAACTATTTGCAACATGCTAGTGAAGCCAGCATATTTATTTTCAGGCAAATGAAAAACCTCATTCACAAAAGTTGTAAATACATGATAAAAAATTAAAGCACCGGAAAAATAACATTTTAATTTCCAAACTCTGAACTTATAAATTGTATGTTCAAATCAAACCCAGGAAAAAATTGAAGACATAACATCAAAACAGGAGAAAAAAAATAAAGTGCCTTTACATTAACTGTAAATTACAGCAAGATTAATAGATTTATATAAGACGAACCGGTCAGCGCCAACTTTATTCATTATTTTTTATGAACACACAAGGGAATGCATGCATAGTTTGAACATACTTCAATGCGTGCCCTTCATTCATTTGTTTGAGAAAATAGTTTAATACGCATAGATGGACCTGTCAGCAGTAATTCAGACACTTTAAATATGGTGTGCTTCTTGAATAAAGCTGAGAATCCTGTCCCTAACACTGTATCTGTACCACTGCCGACTGCCAATGTGACATTCACTTTGTTGCCCCGACATCCTAGGTGTCATGTGGTTGACGACTAGAATTCATTGCCCCTCGGTGCAAAGGTTAGACAATGCCTTGTCTATGTGCCCCAAAATTCACTGTCCGGCTAAATCAGAAATCCAAAGTGAAAAGCCTGGCAGCATCAGCTCTTGTTGCCCATTTTCTCCAATGTATTTTTGCAGCAGCGGATGATGGGTAAGACTGAGTAGACTAGTGAAACCACACGAGTTTTCCAGATAGGAGCTGACAGACAATAGAAACAGGATGCCCCTATCTAAGGTCATGTAAAGAAGATATTATCTAACCTTCCCCAGTGGTACTGAGATTAATCCTGCTGAACGTCTGGGAGATCCAATGACAAGAGCCCAATACCTCCTTTGCAAGATCCTTATTTTATTTTCATGATCCTTAAAAAGGAGAAAAGGTAATCTGGTTGAAGTGGAGAGATATAACTCCAAAAGAATAAAGATAATCAAAACAGCAGCAGCAATTCTAGTAAGAAGAGTGGGAATTTACACACATCATTTGAAGCTCCAAAAGTTTTCTCACGGAAGATGGAATGCAGAACAGTGGCACTTAATTGTGTCCTCCCCATCACCAGGATACCACTACTATCTCTATCAAGTCTGTGTACCTAAAAAAAGCCAAGCTCATTCAAAGCAAGAAATAGACACATGGGATCATTTTCTGGAAAAAAATCCCCAAATAATAAAGCAGAAACTGAAACAAGATCTGCATCACACAGGTTATTACAACACAAAGAATAGCTAAAGTTGAACACCAATTTAAGCTTGCAAATATCTCGTTTAACGAGCAACAAAACTCGATGAGGATTGCATACCATGAAGCAAGCACAGTTCCTGGGTACACTTGCTTATTTTTGCATACACACCTTTGTTTGTGAAATCTGAGAATAGACTTAGAGATCTTTTTCTTATCTTCACATAAGTTCATGTTTGAAGTCAATTTGCCAGATTTGTTCATTCTCGTTTGTTGGAGGATACAATAACAAAACATGATGAGAGCAGGGTGCATGAGTGATAAATGAATATGAATTGTGCACAAGTCCCATGTTCCTAAAAAATCCTAAATTGAGACACCTGTTATTATAGCAGTATGGCGCCAATGATGGTCCAAGTTTTTATAAGTTGTAGCAAACCACGCTGGCTGAAAGATGTCTAGTGAAAATTCTAGCAAACCAGGCTTGCTGGAAGCTGTCCAAAGTTCTCTCGAACTCCAAAAGTAGTTGTTTCTGAGAACCACTGAGTCTTTCGAAACCAAGAAAGCAGCTCATCAACATAATAGTACAGAACATGTGAAGTCCAAAATAATAGCAGTGATCAAGCCAAATCAAGCAAACCAATCAAAGAGAGCATGGTAGACAAATGGAATTTTAACTTCCCTACATATTTCCCCTTACTTGTCTTCCAAGGCAAAAATTCAATGACACGTACAGCCTTCCTGCTTCAGATTTGCTCTCTTAAAAACATCAGTGATTGAGAAAATTGACTATTAGCCATTGTCATTTCTGTGTAAGTCACAGGATACATATATCCATAATCCACGTATACTTATACGACTTTACATAAGCTTTGTAATAAGATGCACCAACCAGCTTGGTTATCCACTAGTTCTAGTGCAATGCAAGTAGAAAATTTCACTGCATAGCAAGTACATTCACTTGACAAAGTGATTCAAAGGGAAGTACTATAAGAAGCATGCTTGTATCTTCTATATGTAGTTTTTAAACGTAATTTTACAATTAAAACAAGCCAAAATACAAAGTTAACATGAGATATTTTGAGAACTCGTTCAGTTCCACCATAACCACGTTCCAGAGAAATTATTACAATCACTTATCCAATTGATACCTACATGATCACATAAAAGCCATATTGCAGTAGAGATGTGTTAAAAGTTAAAACACATTACCAATAGTACTTAGATCAATTAAATGGATTAGACATCAGAAATCAATGCAAATAATAGTAAGACAATGTCTTATCGCATTAACCTTCTGCTTTAAGCCCCAAAGTTTTGTAAACCCCACTCCCTCCGTCCCCCCCCCCCCTTCCTCCTCTTAAAAAAAAACCAAAAAATGGAAAGAAAAATTAGGATGTTCGTGGAGGGCAAATTCTTATATGAGAAAATGAGTGATTTAAAAAGGGGGAGCAAAGACTAATGAACATGTGCAGGTTCGTTAGTGGAAAAGTAAAAGCGAACAAAAAAAAAAAAACGCACCAGCCTTGGTGGTTCTGGATTGTCATATCTCAAATAAGCCGCAGCCAGTTCATCTAAACTTCTTTTTATGCCTACACCACCCTGTCCAAAGTTCCATCAGCCAGAATAATAAACTCAATAGCTACAGCTTGGAAGTTCAAAGGGAAATCAATGTGTGAAGGACGGATAGTTAACCTGAACAGGCACACCAGGGGGTTTATTGAAAACAATGATGGCTGGATCCTGAAAATTAGAAAGGGCAAAAACTGGGTTATCCATGGACTTAGAGAATGATACATAATTACCATCTAAAGAAGCCAAAGTTTCCGGACCTTATACAACTCAAGGCTTTGGAGAAACTTCATTTCTTCTTCATTGCAAATACACTCAGGTTTCTCAGAAGGCAACTCTTGAACAGTATTAGGAAGGTATATTCGATCGCCAAGGTTCATCAAGTCCTTTGCTGCCACCTTCCAATTATTCAAACATCAGATGAAAGAAGATTTACGGTATTCCTATGCCAAATGATGAAAGAAACATGCTTTCACACACTAATCAGCCATTTCAATCAAATGAAAATGTGATCAAGTTTTACCCTCTTGAGTCGCCGTCCTTGAAGATGAATAACCACATTAGAACTTGCTACGTTTGAGGACTCTCTTCGGACCTGTGAAAAAAGCATGTGGTGTAAATTGGCAGCAGAGTTGGGAAGAAGATACCATTATCCTTTCCCCCAAATAGGGATTCGTGAAAAATATTAAAACGTGTTTGGAGTAGGTGTCTTTCAAACTTTACAATCAAGTTTTTGAATGTAATATTCGTAATGATTAAAGCGCTGCATAGTGCCATTGAGTTCAAATTGCATAAAACTTAACACAGAAGCTCGTAGCACTAGTTGTTCTTGCTCATTGCAGAATATCCACCAGTATTTATTTTTGTAAGTGTGGTTCTTGTTACTTATTTCAGGGATCAAATGCAACACAAAAATTACCCACTAATATATATATACGAAAACTTAGATGCAGTTAATGCATTTAGAACTTAGAAGTGTGAAATCTACACTAAGTATACACAGAACCCACAAATACATATACACAACACTTATCTTTCTATCTGCTTCTATGGAAAAATACAATTTCCCTTCCCATAAAATACGTTTAACTAATTTCAGTGTGTTTTGAGGTTATCAATTGAAAATGGTTTGAGGATTACTTCGAAACAGCCCTAAAGATCGTTATATGCAATTGCCCTTAAATCAAAATTTCGAAAAATTATCTCCAACAACTATGCTTTGTACTCTCACTGAGATTGAAACCATACCTGTCTCAACCGAAAGAGCTTCTGTACAAGAGACCTCGGAAGTTTCGGGCAAGATCGTAGTACCCATTTGAGCGCCGTCGTGGAGGTTGTTCCACCGCCAGTGGTGGTTTCACTTTTCGTTGTAGAACGCCGTCCAGAGAGCTCTTTTCCAAGCGCATCACCGTCGATGGTGGAAGTGAAAGGTGGTAAAGTGAACCATTCACCTTTCTTTTTCTCATTCTGGCCTTCGGTCACATAGTCTTCGGCGGCGGCGCTGGAGGTACCGTAGTGAGATCTCGACTCGCAAACGCCTGAAATTAAGGTTCTTGGGCCGCCGGATGTGGTGGTGAATGGCTGTGACCGGACGAAGACTCGGCGGAGGATGGAAGGCACCGTCATTCCATGGGTTTTTGGTTTGGTAATGCAGTTGGATGTTAAGGTTTAGGAGGAGGGGAAATCACACTTTGACCCCAAAAGATTTAATATTTTTATTTTATATCTTCAAATATTATATTTTTTATATTATACTTTCAATGTATTAAATTAGTGTAGCGAAAATGAGAATGTAAAGGTAGGTGAATGAAAAAATAAGAAAGGATAGAATATGAAATGATTGTATTAGAGAATGTGTAGGAATAGCTCCAATTAATAATAAGTTGAGAGAGAATAGATTAAGATGATTTGGTTATATTCAATGGAG